TCAATTTGTAATAATGAAAATACATCCTGCATATCAGATATTTATATTACGATTCATAACAGTAGCAAAATTGCAATTATGAAGTAGCAACGAAAATAATTTTATGGTTGGGGGTCACCATAACATGAGGAACTGTATTAAAGGGTCGCGGCATTGGGGAGGTTGAGAACCACTGCTTTAGAGTCTACACTATTGTGATGTTCCCACAATTTATATAAAGTTGAAAGTTGTAATAAAGTAGACAGCACCATTTAAAACAAAAGTATTGGGGTTTTATGGAGTTTTGAATATATGTTGTATATATTGAAAACCTCTAGGACTGCTTGATTAGGTTGTTTACAAATACTCAGCAATTAAGATAAATAAATAAATTGGAATCTATTCTGGAACATCTTCAAACAACTTTTTCATTTCTGGGAGAAATAGAAATCTGGGAGAGTTTCCCATACTTGCAACAGAACAAAAGCCAATGGATAGTGGGAGTAAAATGTTGGATGATAGAATGATTTTGCTTCCACCCTCTTGAAACAAATTCAAATTAGGAAAAGTTTTGCAGAGTTATTCAGGATCATCCCTACAAAATGTAGGCTATTCTGTGACTGGCTATACTGAAGAAAACTTCTGTTTCTCATATTTTAGATAGCATGAATAAAGGAGCCCAACAAAAATTATTATTTTGTATCAGGCAATGCATAGAATTCAACCAAGAAAATGTCTAGCTTTTGCATGTCAAAAATAGTTTAAATCTCTCTCTAGCTAAACATAACTAAAGCATCTGACTTCAAAATAGAAATGATGCCAGTTTAAAGTAAACAACCTGTTTATGATATAAGACTGCACAAATCTGTAGAAAATAGGTTTAAATATTAGTAAAACTGTTTGTAAAACAGTACATCTAACTTACTCCTTGAAGTTGTTTTTCTCACTGTTTTGTATTCATATATATTCCTTGAATGTAACATTAACTGCTCCATTCCTTCTCTAAAAATGTTAATAAAACATTCTAAAACATGCTAAAAAGTTAAGGCTAAATGAATTAACGTTCCTATGACAGTATTAACTATATTTTCCCTATTACTATATACTAAATAGCCTATAAAAGTTTACTTACAGATATAGCTGGTGAAAGTGTGATGTTTCCTATTGATTCTTTTAATTCATCCAAAGAAGGCACTGTATAATGAGAACTACAGTCTGAATGCACAGGTTTGATTTCCACACGGAATTTTCTAGGTTCATCATCTTCAGAGTCAGAATCACTTGAGGAATAAAAGTGGTTTTCTTTGGCATGTTATTTGCAGTTAAGGAAAAGGTTGCTTTCATCAATTAATGCAGGATTCCCAAACACTGCTGGGACAAATGTATCCTAACCAACTGAATGAATAAAACTGATAATTCACGGGGGTTAGAGCTGAGGAATAAATTAATATACTTTTATTTAACAAATTGTAGTCCATATATCATGGAAAAGGATGTCTTATTGCTTTCCGTTGGTTTTCCATAAAACTCCTCATACAATACTGCAGCTTACGAAAGACTATCAGTTTGTAAGTTGCTTTTGGCATTCTCACAGTCAAGGAAGCTGCACTGAGATAGCAGTGCAGCACATCTCTTCTGTCCCCTTCCAGACTAGCACTGGTTATCTCTCCCAATACAATAATTTCTGCTTCCTCATAGCTGTCTCTAATAGCTGTCTCTGCAGAACAAGGGTCAGAGTTCTGCATAAACCCCTTCTCCCTCCAGACATTATCACTCTTTCTTTTGAAAAGAAATGTGCTAAAAAAGGGTGTGTGTGTGGAGAACAGGGTGGTGGAACTGTTCTGTTGCTCTCTGTTCACAACACTTATGTATCAAAATGGCCAGGTTGTAAGGAAAACTTCTCTTCATTATTCTGCAACCAGCTCTCCTCCCCGGGGGTTGACAACCACTCACTGAGAATGCCGAGTTAATTAATATTGTATCCAACCACTGCAAACAAAATGCTTTATAAAATCATTTAATGCTTCATATATGAAAATACGAAGTATAATGACAACAAAGGATATTCTGACTATCTTTAGGTTTAATGCTGTACCCCTCATCATCTACATCTGGAATGTTCTGGAAGGAAAAAAAACTTATTTTAAAATATGTTTCAGTAGAACCCATACTCGATAGAAACAGCTAAAATACTACATGGAAAACAGTTAAAATGCTCTATAAAGAGACCATATGAAAGCAGTTAACTTATTTAGGCTGAAAAGTCTTGACTGAAGACACCATTCTCAAAGCAGAAATAGTGAGGGCTAAGTACAACTCTCAAAATTAACCCTTCGTAGCTTGGAAGCAACAATCTTCACAATATATCCATGAGCTTTAACTGCCTCGTTAAGGCCTCCATCCTCTTCCTTAATATCTTGGCAATTATGTAATTTTTCTTATGAAAGTATTTTATTTCTTAACTTTTATTTATTAACATATCTTGCAATGGCACTATTCTAGGCAGCTTACAATAATAAAAAGGAAGAAATAAAATAGAATAAACAAACAATGACAAAGGAACACAATGGGAATAATAAGCAAAAGGATGGATGCAGAGGAAAGTGTGTGTGTGGGGGGGAATAGAGTCTGCCATCAATGTAACAGCCATCTCCAGCACGGAATTCCCCCATCTGGTCTCCAGGCCAACTGGCAGAGCCAAGTAATAAGAGTAACATCTTTAAAATAAGAGGACAGTGCCAGAGACACAGTCATTAGTGCAACTCCTTGTAAGTTAGCCACCAAAGACAATCATCTTTTGATTTATGACTTGCAGGAAGAGGATTATCTTGATAAAAGTTATGTAAAATGTTTGAACATCAGAACATTCTTACTTTTCTTGTTGGAAGCTGGGTAGGAAAGTCGCAAATAATACGACCCCAGCATCTGTAATAAATATATGCCGGTTGCCAAGTACCAGAATGCTGATGGGGTGCTATGGGGATTCTGTGACGGTCATAACATTCTTTTGTCTTATACTTTTTATACTTTCTTAGTATTATTTTTTTCTTTAAGTTTAATTTGTATTACTTTTTATTATTGTAATCAAATTTTTTAATAAAAAATATATAGAAAGAAGGAAAATGTCTAAAATTATATAGAAAATTGTTTTTATATTCTGAAACTGATACAGAATTAATCTAGTGGGGTACATGGGAAATAATAAAACAAAAAGCTTACTGAACACATACATGCATGAATTTGTTTATTAAACAAGAAGTAGTGAAATATCCAGATAAAAAAGTAAATATTGTAGGTTCATCCAAGTTATAGATTATGATAGTTGTCAAACCACTAATTGTATAAATGACATAATTCTAGTTTTATCAGTGGAACTACCAGTAGATACTGTATATCCAATAAAGTTCCATGCAAAAATCATTCTGTTCAAATAAACAACCTTAAAGATAATTTTCATTTTTAATATTGTATTATTGCTTAAACAAAATAAATCAAATCAATTAATTTTTCATAAAGAATATTAGAACAATATTATTCTAATAGTAATTAGAATATTATTATTAATATTAAAAATTAGCGTGACCCAACAAAATTAGCGTGACTAAACCGCGTCGCTAAAACCGCGACATCATCAATGCGCTGACAACAGCGCGGAGACAGAAGGGCGATTTCAGTTGACAGAGGGGCGATTTAAGTTAAGGTAAGGGTTAGGTTTAGGGTTAGGTTTAGGGTTAGGTTTAGGATTAGGTTTAGCGTTATGTTTAGGTTTAGTTTTACAGCGCGCTTCTGTCGCTGCGCTGTTGTCGGCGCGATTCAGCGCTCATTCGTCGGAGCACTTTAGAGCACGCAGTTTTGTCACCGCGGTTTAGTCGGGCGCGGTTTTGACGTTCGCCCTTTTGTCGGTGAACCAAAAATTAGACAGAAAATAGTTTTGTCTACAATTTTTCAGGACATTCATGAAAGTTATACAGTTTAACAATGATATTTGGGATCAGAATTTCCTTCCTATGCAATAAGTTCATGAAGCGAAAAGACATGTGATCACATTGCATAACAATGGCACTCCCAGCAGCCCCCATTGTCATTAAGTGGGCACCACATAGGTTGTTAACTGAGGACCATACATGACCATGACATGGTATGAGAATCCGTACGTACCTGCTTGCACCCCTGAAACTATGTCCTAAGCAAGCAGGTCAACTGGCAAGAGCTACATGTGGCGGATCCATACAAAAAAATATGGGCAGGCGGGTGATGCCATGGGCTGGTGAATACCGCAAGTGGGTGCTACAGAGTATGGGTGGTTAGGCACTATGGAGTACAAGTCCTCATGCTGCTCAGGGACAAAAAGCAGCAGGAACTTTTATATGATACAATAAATGAGTTGTGTAAATGTACACAACTCTGCTTATTGCAAATGATGACCACGTAACTGCAGATGCTGCAACATTTGTAGTTTTGAGCCAGTTGCCAATCGCCTGAATCGCAATCAGAGGTCCATGGGGACACTGCAATGGCTGCAACTTCAAGGACTGGCTGTAAATCCCTTGTTCAGTACTCTAGTAACTTTGAGCAGTTACTGTTACTGAAGCAATTGCTTTAGAAAATTCTGCCTATCTGCCATCTTAGGTTAAATTCTGATAAATGGCCAAATATAGTTAGAAAGAAAACAGATGATAAAACAGGCACTTGCTTGAAACTGTAATATTATTCATATACACCAAAGGTGCTTTTCCAAGAGGCAGCTGTACTTTCAAAGGTTTTTTTTGAAGATGTTTCGCTCTGAAGAAGGTTCTTGGATGAGAAATGAAATGTCTTCAAAGAAAACCCAGAAAGTCTGGTTGCCTCTTGAAAAAGCACCTTTGGGACAACCATGACCTGGATGACTGAGAATCTCCAGAGACATCATTCATTCATTCATTTATTTACTCACTCACTCACAAACACACTCATATTATTCATATATACTTACTACTGAATCTGCATCTGGACATTCTCTGTAAAAAAAAGCACCCACCAATAAATCAAATAATTGTTATAAATATATAAATTGTCTAACTATTTTGCTATATACATAACCTTTTACTAATGAGTGCATATTTTATTCAGTCGTGAAGAGGTTTAGACTGTCAATTTCAATCAAAATTCTTAAAATTACATATATAAACACAGCAATAGCATGTTTAATGTATGTAGATACAGATATAAATCATCTAGTACTAAAATATGAGAGGATTTGAAGTCTTGCTGGCATTAACATTGTTCCATTTCCTATTATTCTATGTTCTAAGTGGATAGGGGCTCTTAGGCAAGTGAATTCCGTAACTTTAATGTCACACTTTTTAAAACCATTTTTAGTAACTAAGTTTTAGAAAATGGTAAAAGATACTTAATATATATATAAAATTGATATATATATACAATTGAGCAAAATGTTATTTTATACAGGACAAAGTGTTATTCAAATGGCATATGGATTAATCTTACATTGCTCGGAAAGGGTATGTGCTTCTTTTATTGTTGGAACTACAATACTGGCACGGACACTCAATTTAAACTGGCACTTACACTAATACAAAATGAGATTGGAGTGTAATACAATGCTGAGAAATGCCTAAGACACTTCATTAATCACTATTACATAGAGTTATGACTAAGACTTAAAATGAAACAAATGGGTTAGCGAACTATCCTTTGATTTTTATGATCAACCAAATTCTCTTTTTTTCTCCTTGATAACTAATTGCATTCTTTAGGATGGATAAAATATGTATTTTGATCCCCGTAAACAAAGTTCTCAGGTCTAGGATTATTGTAGGAATACATATAGTTTGAACTAGAAAGTGATTTTGCATAAAATAATATATAAACCTATGTTTAGAAAATATATGTGTGAAGTTAATTCATTAATGCTTTTGTCAAAAACAACATTTTCTACGTTTAGAAGAATATAAGTACAAAGGACTAATTCTAATAGTCTTTAAAAGTAAAAGCTCTTGACATTTTACAGTAAGAATTATAAAAAAAAGTGCTTTTAATATAACATTATTTTTTATATTTTTGTTTGAAATATATTTACATAGATTCTGGATCTTTTTCCTTCTTAATAATCCCTGACAATCCAAAATGCTTTCTTTTTCTTGGCTTTATTCCTGCAAGTAAATTATTATTATTAGATAGAAATTAAAAAGCATACATTGAAATAATGCACACATGTAGCAAATATGAAGAGCAAATATGAATTTATTTCATGAGTGTACCATATGTCATTACACCAGCACTGTCAATAAACTGGAATAATTACACATTGGACTACTTAGTCCATTAAAATTGAAAAATTTAATGTTTTTATTCTTAAATATGGCTCTGAATCAAGATTTCTGCTTATATCCGGGGTACTCAAACATGGTGTTTGCCACTAAAAATTCAAATGACTTGTGTGACATGTGCCATCTTTGTTAACTCTATCAAGTTTAATTTCAAATTAATCTGCTTGGTCAAGTTAAATGGCATCTTATCCAGGCAAACACAATGCAATCCCCACCTGTTAATAATTGCTCACAAACTTTTCAGGGAATCAAAACCCATGATTAGTCTGGGGATTAGCCCTCTCAATATTGTCCTGGTTCTGATCAAAAGGAAACTGAGTTAAGTGATATCAATAGGCTTTGAGTTAGGCTGGCTGGAGCCCCTTGTCAGGTGCATGACATACTGTTGATCAGATTTGCCACCTTTGTTATTCTTATATGTTTTGTACTTTTTTTGTTTCATTTTTTTTTTGCAGTCTGCTGTCCAGAACCAATTGGAATTGGATGGCATCTACACTGAATAAACAACAATAACAACATAATAAATTAATGTCACACCATCCTAGCACGTACTTAACTTTCCTAATTTGTTAAACAGCAAGTTTATACAGGTTATTATCTAATGCAGGGGTGTCAAATTCAAGTCCTGGAGGTTAGAAATCTGCTTAGATCTGGCTCGCGTGCCCACTCTACGAACAGCGAAGGACTGGCCCATGGTGCCTCTGCCAGCAAAAACAAAGCTCGGGAGGGCCATATGCAGCCTGTCCGGGCTCCGCTTTTGGCCGCAATGGCCTCCTGCAGCCCTCTGCCAACAAAAATGGAGCTCGGGGAGACCGCACGTGATTTGGCCAGGCTTCGTCATTAACTGCAACAGCCTCTTTGATCCCTCTGCCAGCAAAAACGGAGCCTGGGCAGGCCACACGTGGCTTCTCTGAGCTCCGTTTTCACTGGCAGAGGGCTGCAGAAGGCTGTCGCGGCCAAAAACGGATCCTTGATAAGTGATGTCAAGCTGGCAACGGCCACCCTGGCCACGCCTCTGACCACATACAGATACCCTGGGCCCCCAAGGTCAAACACAATCCTGATGTGGCCCTCAGTGAAATTGAATTTCCCTGATCTAAGGTATAGCCTGGTGGTTCAATCTTCTTTGAAATGCAGACAGTCTTACAGTAAGCAGAGTGAGCAATCCCACAAACTGTTTTTTTCAATCCTTCATAGGCAGCTGAACACATTGCTTCTGCGAAGCAACAGGAAGAGTATGATGGCAGCCCTAATAATCAGCCTTGCTATTAGACTTAAAGAGAGTAGCTCATCCAAATCAATTCTACTGACAAAAATCATTTTCTGGAGTAACCAAGTGATTTCTGTTCAAATAGAACACGGGTGTCAAACATGCAGCGTCACGTGATGTTGTGTGACATTTTTCCCATTTGCAGAGCTATGGTGGCCATGGCCTGTGCATGACGCATCCGGCCTGTGGGCCACCAGTTTGACACCCCCGAAATAGAATACAATTAGTAAGTGTTTGTTACTTATTTGAAAATGGGAAATGGACAGATGCAAAAAATTTAAAAATTGAAGAAATTTATGGGAATGCTGAGAAGCTATTTGCTTCTTATTCAGAAAAAATAATTTTAATAATATTTTTGCTGCTTCTCATATGAGCATATAAGGCAATCTGTGGCTCACAACTGAGCCTGTTAAATCGAAAAAACATAATATGTTCATCTTTATGTATTTCACTTAATATTTTAACATAGATTATCCGTAATGATTACCAAAAAGAACCCTATATTGCATTGTACATGTTTTAAATCATTTTTACAATGAAGAAAAACTTACCCTCCACTGCACTGGCTGTATTACATTCTTCAAATTCAATTAGTCCTGAAAACAAGAAAAAAAAACATTATTTTTTAGTTCATTCTTTGTGTTATGCAGTAGTATATTATTGCTTGTCTATAAGATGCAAAATAGCATAGTGGTATTCACATAGCTACCTTGCAGAGAAATCCGTTTGTAGGAAGGACATATTTAAGGATCAAAAACAGCACCTCTATGTGTGTGTACATAGAGAAACATATATACACATGTGCAAGCTCTTGTGTCAAGGTTACTGAGGGACAAAAAATCTGGACAAATCTCAGAGACAGTGTGAGCCAGATCTTGGTAATAACAGAACAGAACAGAGTTGGAAAGCATGTATTAGCTTAAAATTTAGTTCTCATTTTTTTAAAAGGGGGGGGGGGATGGATCTAGGAAACTACAGACCTATCAGTCTTACATCAATATCTGGGAAGATTCTTGAAAAGATAATCTAGCACTGAATCAGTGAACACCTAGAGGCAAGCAAAGTCATAACCAAAAGCCAACGTGGCTTTGTCAAAACTTACTGCATTCTTTGACAAAATTACAAAATTGGTGGATCAGAAAAATGATGTTGATATAATTTACTTGGACTTCAGTAAGACATTTGGTAAAGTGGATGACAACCTACTACTTGATAAGATAGAAAAATGTTGATTAGACAGCATCACCACCAGATAGATTGGTAATTGGCTGACCAACTGCACTCAATATGCGTGAAGTCTTCAATGGAACTGAAATTACATGGAGGGTACCTTACATGCAGTAAGGTACTCCAAGGTTATGTCTTAGGCCCATTACTCTTCAATATTTCCATCAATGATTTAGATGAGTGGACAGATGGGAAACTCATCAAATTTGGAGATGTCTCCATGTTCAATCCACTACTATAGAAATGGTATTTTATTATCAAAAACCTAAAGCCAAGATCACCAATGATCCTTCCAAATAATTTTTTTTCCTGCTTGTACTTATGAGAAACCCCAGAATTCGCTTCATTGAATTAACAGAAAAGTATAATCAGATCACTCCACAATTAATACATTTATAACAGTTACTGACGTTATATATACATGTAAAAGAATATTATACAATACTGTATATTTAATTTTTTTAAAGAATTAAAAAAGAGTCATTGAATATATAACTCTGTAAAGATTTTAAAAGATAAAGACACTCTTCAAACTGAGCTTGACTCCTGGTGACTACATAGACAGATCAATGTTGTTTTTTGCATAAATACTAAGGATATCATCTTCTTCTGAATGTTCTTCCTACTTCCGAGTAGTCTGCAGCCCTGGGATTCCTTGGTAGTCTTCCATTCAAGTACTAACCATAGTCTACTTAGCTTCCAAGAAGAGACAAGGTTGGCCACATGCTGCCATCTATTGAAAGCTCAGATAAATTTACACAACTCCAAACTGATTCCCCAGTTGAGTTTTGTATTCATTAAATTCAATCATACGTATAAACAAAAGCAGGTTTATAATTTAAATGGTGAAAATTAGATGGCTATAGTATAATTTAGAATTTCAAGAGGATAAGCAAATACAAATTAAGTCACTGACCCATCATCATCATCATCCATCTAAATAGGAACCTTCTAATTATTTTAAATATGGGGACAGAGCCAACTCTATTTTGAGGTTCTTATGGTATGTTTTGTTTTATAACAGAAATGTTCAGCACTAAAGGAACAATAAGAAGTCTTGAAAATTCACAAATCTCATAAGTCACCTGTCACTTAATCAGTAACAGCTCTGAAACAGTTCGGTTTGAGAATGGGGTCATGGCAGGTCAACTGATACAATTGAAATACTCAGTTCAAATTAGACCAGTTAGAACATGTATCAAATATGTAAACAGAAAAAGAAAGAAAATAATGGATGATGAACAAATTTAATTGGTGAACCGTTCTTGAATATTCTTAAAATGCATCAATAATAGAAAAAAACTTTAGGCTTTCTAAATAAATCAAAGTGAAATACATTTAGCAAATATCAACTTGTGGGACTAATCTCAAAAGAAACCCCTACTTAAAAACAACATAAATACTAAACTACTTCTTCATACATGTAAGAAAACTGAATGGTTGGTTTTAGTGTAAAACAAAAGATTCCCTTCCCTGCCCCCATCTCCTAGTAAGAAGTCATGCATGAAAGGAGGACAATTTTCTCAAAACTACATATGCCTCACATGCTGCTTCAAAACCGCAAAGCTTTGCGTGTCTGGCTCAGTGCCAGTTGACAGCTCAGCTGGAAATCAATGCACATTCTATCCCTCTTGCAACATGTCACTTTTGAATTGTTTCTGCGGTAGAAAGTTTATTCAACCTCTTTCTCAAATGCAGTGGACCGACCATCATTCTGCTATTTAATCATAGTCGCACAAGTTATTTTTTTGACAGCACTAAAGCCAGAGTGCAATTCCTAATGAACAGCTTGATACAAGTGGAATTTCAACTGTTTTAGTCTCAATTAATTTTGCTGTCAAAACAAATGACTGTTCCTAGTGTTTAGATGTAAAAGCTCAATCACAAAGGTTAATTTTGCATTATAAACACATACACAATCTTTCTGTTACTAACTCCTCATGCCACTTCATATTTAACATTCAATACAAATATTGAAAAGTGAAGTTAAGAAAGAGAAATACTGCTAAATAAAAACCAAAACTACTGCTAAATGTAAAATTATTCAATGTATATTGTTCACATAATCACCATACAATTAGTTACTGAAAAAGTTCGCATATGAACAATATCATTTATATTATAAAATATTTAATAATGTATGAAAAGACAAAGGTTCCTAACCATACTGTAACATTTCTTCAGACTTTTCCTTTTGGATTAAGACCCTGGTTTTCACTATTTTAGAAACCTAAAAAAGTCATGTTCAATTTATATAATCCTTTAATAAATAAAAGTTTTATCTACAAAAAAAAAGTTTCAGAGAACTTAGGAGTTGTATTAGTCAATATGTTGCAAAAATACTTTTGTGAAGTAACAAAAATATTTTTGCAGTAAAAACTTGCACTGAACTTCGGCAAAATAGAATACTCTAATGCAGATTTTCACAACATGCAACCTATTGAACTCTCTTGTGTGTCCTGTGGATTTTTTTTGGAAAATTCAACATATCTACTGCTGCCAAATGTCCCCACTAGGACAAAATGTCACCACCAGAGCCTAATTTTACCAGCTATCTTTGTCCTAAAAGATCCTATACTAACAGGTGCCTCCAACATCTCAAGGCTTCATCGACACCAATAGCTTCATCATAGCTGCAGCACAACTATTCACCAAACAGATGATCAACGTACCAGATATATCTTTATGGCACACTATTATTTTTGTAATATTTTTGTATGACGCAGTGGCTCAGTGGCTAAGATGCGCTTGTCGATCAGAAAGGTCATCAGTTTGGCGGTTTGAAACCCTAGTGTCATGTAACTGATTGAGCTCCCATTACTTGTCGCAGCTTCTGTCAACCTTGCAGTTCGAAAGCATGTAAAAATGCAAATAGAAAAATAGGGACCACTTTGATGGGAAAGTAGCAGCGTTCCGTGTGCCTTCAGCATTTAGTCATGCCGGCCACATGACCACGGAGACGTCTTTGGACAGTACTGGCTCTTTGGCTTTGAAATGGAGATGAGCACCGCCCCCTAGAATCAGGAACAATTAGCACATATGTGCGAGGGGAACCTTTACTCTGTTAAATTGAGCCAATTATGTGGGTGACATGATTTGTAACTGTTATGACTGATTATTATGATGAGCAGGCTCCATTATGGTTGTAACTTTAGGACTACCTGTATTTCTATTTGGAGGATAAGAATTCAAGGTAGAATATATTCAGCCTCAACATAGCAGAGATATATAAATGTGATGCAGTTTTATTAATCTTTGAAAGTTGACACTAGCTCAACATAATACAGATATATGTGACATTTTTTTTTAACTTTGAAAATTGACACTAGCTTTGACTAACTTTAATAATCAATAATAAATTAAATGGCAAAGTCTTTTATTTATTTTTAGACAATTTTTAAGAGTAACCATGTTTTTTTTCCGTGCTCTGCTTTGAAAACCCCTCAGCTATTTTCCTCTCAGTGCTGTACGATGGGAGCAGACTGAGAGGACTCTTCTTCCACAGCTGTGCCAAAGTACTTTTGGGATGGGCAGATTCAGTTTAATTGAGGGCAGCACTGAGGGCAATTCAGTAGTAAATAATAAAGCTAAATTTGCTTAGCACAGCTTTACTGGAAAATACCACAGAAGAGTACTACCTGCCTCTGACAGCCTGCTAAAAACTTCATACTGAAGGTCTTCTACAATGGACAGCTCTGCTAAGCACTATAAACAATCTCACAGCATGTACCAATGCATGCTAAACATGTTGGATTGCTTCTGTGCAGATTGCAGGCACAATCCTAAAACTGACGGGCTTACAACACCTGGACCAAGATAGTGTGAAAGGAGGGAGGGAGGGAGGGAGGAAGGAAGGAAGGAAGACATACTTTGAGTCTATTTTTCTACAGAATAAATTTTAGGAATTCATTAGTTTCGAGACTCAATAAAATATGTTTAAATTAAAGAACATAAAGTAGATTTTTAAATTAATTGTAAATGTTAATTTTATCTGGACTGGATATAGGTACATTAAAAGTTACTCTTAAGACTGAGCCAATTTCATTTGAGGTAAATTGAATCAAAGGAGAATAATTGTCAGTGTAAAAAGTATCAAGTTCAACTGTTTCTTAAAAATGAATTTTAACAGTTTAGCAATCGCTAAATTATAGCTGATTTTATTTTTTAAGTAGAGTTATACACATGCAGAAAGTATATTTTATTTGTTCATTCAATTTATATGGCTGCCCATCTGAAATATGTGGCTCTCAATGGCTTACTACACTACATAAAACAGTTAGTTTGGTGTAGTGGTAAAGGCATCAAGATGGAAACAGAAATTGAGAGTTCTAGTTCCACCCTCAGCCCAAAGCCAGCAAGGTAACCCTGGGCCAGTCACTTTCTCTTAGTCCAAAGAAGAAGACAAAGGCATACTGCTTCCAAAATTTCGCCAAGTAAACTGTAAGAATTAGCCCAGGTAGTCACCATGAATCAACACTGACTTGTAGGTCCTGAATGAATGAATGAATGAATGAATCAATCAATCAATGAATGAATCAATCAATCAATCAAAAGAATGACTAAATGAACAAAACTCCCTTTTAATGACCCTGTAGTCCCTATTTTTGTGTAGTCAGGATGAATGGATAGAGCTCAGCATTTACTAGCCAGATGTCCTTCCTGACAATCACATGGAGTTTGCAGCAGACATTCTTTCTTTGTGTCCTAGGAGAGAAACATCTAACACTACCTAAGATTGAACTCTCAACCTTCCG